AAATGCTGTTCCATATTTTTATTGTCTCTTAAATCCACTAGGGAGAAAGCTGAATAATATGAAGGCTTGATGATGAGATAGCACCACAAAATACCAAAAGTTATCATTTAAACAGTTGGAAATTCTTAGACTTTTGATCCACAGTTTCCTGTGATTAATAAACCCTGAACTACAGGACGGTTTTGAAGCTGAAACAGCACGGCATTTATGGATGTACTTTATGAGCAGCAAGCCTCCGGCATGCAGCAGAAAGGCTGTCACAAGGAGTAAGGACTGAGTGGTACAAAATGGGAGCATAGGAGCCAGCACAAGTGGGCAGAAAGACTCAATTGCAGAACAGAAAATAGAATAAGAATTCAGACACAGCAGAATTGAGATCAAGGTGACAATTGTTGTAAGAATCTCTTTTATGCTCTCTGATAAATCAGATGTCCGTAGCCACTTGCTTGGGAACCCTGCCCAGCAGTGGCAGGATGAACCAAGAACTCATGTCTTTCTCACACTGTGACCATGGAGTAAAACCTCAGAAATCAGGAGCTGAAGTAAATGTTTCCCCCCACTAAACTGGTTATCTTAAACATTTTGTCATTAGGTAAAACCAACTAACACAGCAGGGTTATGATCATTTAAAACAACCATATGGCTGTTAAAACTTTTATGAATTCGAAAATTAGATTACAAACCATCCCAGACAACTGCATGCTAAAACCAGCTATACAGAGCTTCACTCTGCCAGGTCAGATGAGGTTCAAATGGGAAAACTGTAGTAAAGAAACCCAAAGTCATAAGGCTGTCAACACAATGTCCTCCCCTCATAGTAAGAGAGAACTTTTTTTTCCCCTGATGACAAAGTTTGATAAAATATAGAAATGACCAACTAAGTCCAGTTGGTGTTCCCCACGCGTGCATGATTGTGGAAGCATCCACAGGAATATAGGGAGCCTACATTGGCCACATCCTGAAAGAGAATGATTTTTCTGAAATTAATAAAGACTCATGTTGGGGAGGTATGTGGAGGCTTGGAGGAGGCATGACCTTATTGCTCTATGTACATGGATGAAGTTATTAAAGTTTTAAAAAAAAATAAGATGTAGGGATGATTTATTTCTTCATCAGAGTATAGGAATTAAGTTAACCTAGAAGCCTAGAAGGAACCAGTGATTTTTTCACAGCTATGAAGAGAGGAAAGGAACTAGAAATGATAAGAACATAGAGGGAGAGTGGCATCTAAAAGATTAAAGGG